CCCTCCCGCGCTAGCCTAAGGGCCACCTTAGCAAAGCGCATCCCAGGCTGCATAGCCGCACTACCCTACCCAACCATACCACACATAAACATGACACTACCCCCGGGGTTTACACAGACGAGCCGGCGAAGCAAGAAGAGCGCCAGAAGAAAGGGCCCTAGCCGGCGGGGCCCAGCCAGGACAAAAGGAGGTCCCACAAAGCGCCTACACCGGCCGCATTTGCGGTCGGGGTAGACGACGGATGGGGCCCACCTACGAAGGCTGTCCAGGCCTACACGAGATGAGGCAGGATAAAGAGGGATAATCCCCCTCGATCCCAAATCATTGAGGCCAATTTCTAGCCATAGAATAATGGCGCGCCCCCAGTGTAATGTAGTGTATTTGGTCAGGTCCAGGGGCTTTTCTGTTTTTTAGGTGTCTTACTATTTGTCTGAGTTCGTCTGGTGATTGATAAATATGCCCGCCATACAACCGACAATGATTGTGAACGCGCCCCAGCTTTTGACGTTTGGGAACATTGACACAATTAAATTAAAAATGGTAAAATAAAATCATAAAATCAAACATATGCGCCATAAGATGGCCGTCAGTTATCATTTATAAAAAAAACTATTTTGATATTGATATTCTAAAGTTGTGAGTAATCCGGAAATGTTTTGTAAATAATCGGTAAATGCTGATTGGCAACCCTGCCTACACCGCCACAAGAAGGATCAAGAAGCCAAGAAGGTTAGAATTGACGGGTGACGAGTTTATGTTCTTTTTATACTCGAAAGAAGATTGTTGTAAAGCAATGAGTGATGTTAAGGAGACTTCGTGTAGACTTTGCATTAAATCTATAATAGATACAAGTTTTGAAGTGGTAGACAACGTTATCATAGACATTTTAGATGTTCTTTTGCTGAAATTGGTAAGTCTGTGAAATCTAATTAGATTAGATCCTAGCAGTCTTAAATGTAAACCAGTTTTTAGTATTTAATTGTTATTTTCCACTACACTTATTTTCCTTCTGTTTAAACTTGCATATTTTTCAGAAATTTGATAACGAGAACAAAGAGGTTATATGTAGCCTTTGCAGGAGAAAGTTAAATGCGGCGTTAGAATTTAAGTCGACCTGTCTGAATACCGATAACATAATTATTCCTTATGTGGATAGCGAAAAAATGTTACAGCTCGACTTAAGAGAAGTGTACATGCAGGAAAAGGAAAGCGAGTTAGTTTGCAGTCAGAAAATATGTCGATTGTGTATGCACCCAGTAGAAAGTGAAGTTAGGTGCATAGGTGAAGAGGAACTTGAAGCCATCGAGAAATTGGCTCCTGAAATGGTATCAATGATATTAAATAGTTACATTTTTTGCAATTTAATGAAACTACTTTGCAGAATATAAATATCATCAACGATCCCGTTGTATGTAAGGAATGCTTTGATTCTGTGTGTACCCACAACAATTTCCTAAAAAATTGTTTGGAAGCACAGGAAACAATTAGAGGTATTTTTAATAGTGCAGAAACAGTAAGTGAGATAGACACGTCACCATCTGATTTATTCATTAAGACTGAGAACTTGGACAAAGAATTCGATATTAACGAGATGGAAATGTCTATCAAAGCTGAAAGTATCGACATAAAATCCGAAGATGAGGAAATTAGGTAAGAGAAGATTATTTTAACATTAATTTTAAAAATAAGTCCGTGGTTCTAATACTTCGTGAATATGTACCATCTGACGATAAACTAACAAATTATAAGATTACGTTGGTAAATAATCTTCAAGAGGTTAACAAATTATTAGGAAAAAATGTAAGATCGTTATAAAACAATCCGTATATCTTTAAATCAGATACAGTGGCGACCCGTGGGTTTGACTACAGGGGGGGGGGGGCATTTTGAAGAGAGGAGGTATATGCGTGGAGCTGTGGGTGGTTCTTATATTGATTTGACTGATTTGACTGATTTTTCAAAATATTCCATTGATGTTTGTATTTTTGCTAGATCTCTTTGAATTTTTTGTAACTGGTTGTACAAAATATCCACATGCGGCATAACTTGCCCAAAAAATGTCGTTCAATTCATAGCGATACAATAAAACCATTTGAGTTTGTGTTGAAATATCGGTTGCATTATCACACATAATTGGGCTCCCTACAATTTTCTCTGCATACTTCAAACATGCACTGTAATAGTTCATCGTGTATAGTTTTTGAGGTTCCTTTAAAAACATGGGCATCACTAGGATGTTATTTAAAACGGGAACAATTTTTGTACTGTAGTCTGGCAAGTCTAAAAATACTCCTTTGTTTATCGAGTCACTTTGTTCACTATGTCTATGAAGAGGAAGGTTACATGTACCACATAGTTTTAATATATAATTTTTGAGAGAAGCAATCGATTTTCCTTAACTGTTCGATTATGCAAAGCACTACTTAAACAAGAAGCAATATTTACTCTTCCTAAAAGTGGAAAACTCACCAAGTTATTTTCGTGTTTAGGAGAATTTTCATGTTTTTTAATTTTGTCCGGTAAATGTTTCAAATCAGAAACTCCAGTTTTCGTCCAGTTTTCTTCGCCTCCTCCAAACAATAAACATACAAAATTTGTTTTGTCGCAACCACAGGGCCTTATCATAAATGTTTTTATCGAATTTGCGAATAAAAACCGGCCTACTTTCTGCACCTGAACTATATCCAACACTGGCGTTGGACTTCTATTTTTTTTTCAAATCGACTTTTTCTTCTACACTTAAATTACTAATAGCAAGTTTTTTTATTTCACAAACCCTCGTTTTAAACTTCAACTTATAAAATATAATTTCTTAAAAAGAGCCAAAGTAAAAACAGAACACTTATAACCACACTTCAGTGAAACGGGTTACTGCCACATGAAGTCCAAAAGGAAGCATGCGAGTCTGTCGTGCCAATTTGTCGCATGATATGTAGAAATATGCTTGCACGATGGACTCATATTTCAGCGTCTGCGATGGAGTGGGGATTGCACGGTCAAAGGTAACTCTTTGGTACGATCATAGATGGCAGATGGCATTAAGCTGAGCCACGTTCACGGAGTACATACACTTTATGCAACCAACTTAACATCCAAGGCATATTGAATGTATGCTATTTAGATTTTTTATTGATTTAAGGAAATAAATCATTTAAAGTTTACAATTTGAAAATATCTGATCAGGCATGGGTACAAAGAATGGTGTGTTTGGTTTCATTCATTCAATGAATTTTTTTTACTTTGGGCAGAAATCGTAATTTTCTTGGAACGAAAACGATAGATCTCTCACCGAGTTACAAAACGATTAGTGGTTATGTAAGTAGATCGCAAGGAAAAAATAAATTTTTAGGCTATTTTAAAGGTATCGGCCTAATTCAAATTTGAAAAATATCTTATCAAATAAAGTCAAACAAAATCCAGACCAGAAATCTAGATATGCAAAAGGTGTCTAAATTCGTAGACAAGATTCTTAACAGTTGATATTACAGGAAATGAATTATTGGCTACATGCCCCAACTGGCATCTAATACACAACACCAATATCTAGTAACATCTACAGTCGAGCCGTTGGATCTTTACTTTCTGGTCATCAAGCGTAATGGTATGAACTGAGATTTCAAACGAGGTCAAATCAGCAGTTGTGTTCATGAATTACTGTTTATTTAGAAATAGTGAGGATTCACATTTGTATAATGAAAACATGTTTTGTGATTTTTTGCATCATAACATCAACCAAAACCAAACAAACTTAGGCTCAATACTGAAATAACGACAGAGCTCGTAGAAAATTAGGTCAATCAATAGAGGTTTTGTTTGTGACAAAAATACTAGTGGCAGAGGGTCTGCTATCATATTTATTTATTTATTTATTTATTTATTTATTTTATTTATTTATTTGAAGATGTTACTATCCTTTTCAATAACACATATTTCAATCAAGTCTAAGGGTGACGACGACAGAAATGACAGCAAGCACTGAATTGTTCCGGTACGGGGGTACAAATGTATAATTAGTCAATAAAAACATCTCATTAACTTCAAATGGAAATATGCCCATTTATTAGTCATTTTTTGTAAAACGCAACATTTTGGCATGTGTATATATAAAAATTAAAACTTGATTTTTAAAAATACCCTGTATGTTCAATTTTTTCAGCGACACGCCACTGCAGTGCTGCGATAAGGTACCATTCGAGGAGAGTGTCTGTAAAAATGAAGAAGAGGATGGATATAAACAGCAGAATGGATCAGAAATGAACACCAAGCAGGAGCACAAAGTATTGTACAAATGTGATAAATGCATTTACGAAACTGGAAGTGAGATTCCTTTTACCGCACACTTTGTGAGACACGAGAACGATTCGGAAGTGTATAAATGTGAATCGTGTGAGTATAAAACTGAAAATAAGAAATCACTTCAGAGGCACCGGGTGAGGCATAAAGACCCTTCGAAGGTTCAAACGTACAGGTGTAACGACTGCGATTACGAAACTAAATACAAACGTTACATTAAAAAGCACCAACTGAAACATAAAGATCCTTCGCAGCTTCAAATGTTCAAGTGTAACGACTGCGATTACGAAACTAAATACAAGGGTGATATGAAAAAACACCAACTGAAACATAAAGATCCTTCGCAGTTTCAAATGTACAGGTGTAACGACTGCGATTTCAAAACTATATACAAGGGAAGTATCAAGCCGCACCAACTGAAACATAAAGATCCTTCACAGGTTCAAATGTACAGGTGTCAGGACTGTGATTACGAAACTAAATACAAGAGTCATATCAAACAGCATCAACTGCAGCATAGAGATCCTTCCCAGGTGCAATTGTACGGGTGTAACGACTGCGATTACGAAACTAAATACAAGGGTGATATGAAAAAACACCAACTGAAACACAAAGATCCTAAGCAGGTGCAAATGTACAGGTGTAAAAACTGCAATTACGAAACTAAATACAAGGAAGTCTTCAAACGACATCAACTGACGCATAAAGATCCTTCCAAGGTTCAAATGTACAGGTGTAACGACTGCAGTTACGAAACTAAATACAAGCGTTATATCAAACGGCATCAACTGAAGCATAAAGATCCTTTACAGGTGCAAACGTACAGGTGTAATGACTGCGATTTCGAAACTAAATACAAGGATTACATCAAAAAGCACCAACTGAAACATAAGGATCCTTCCCAGGTTCAAATGTACAGATGTAACGACTGCAGTTACGAAACTAAATACAAGTATGCTGTCAAAAAGCACCAACTGAAACATAAAGATCCTTCACAGGTTCAAACGTACAGGTGTAATGACTGCGATTTCGAAACTAAATACAATGATTACATCAAAAAGCACCAACTGAAACATAAAGATCCTTCCCAGGTTCAAATGTACTGGTGAAACGACTGCAGTTACGAAACTAAATACAGCAAAGATATGAAAGGATACCAATTAAAGCATAGAGATCCTTCGCAGGTTCAAACGTACAGGTGTAATGACTGCGATTTCAAAACTAAATACAAAAAGATTATTAAATAGCACCAACTGAAACATACAGATCCTTCGCAGATGCAAATGTACAAGTGTAGCGACTGTGATTACGAAACTGAAAACAAGTATGCTGTCAAAAACCAACTGAAACATAAAGATCCTTCACTGCTTCAAATGTACAACTGTAGCAACTGCAATTTTGAAACTAAATACAAAGAGTATATCAAAAAGCATCAAAACCGAGCATAGGGAGGGAATTGAGGACACCTCAGTTGATGCACAAAAAAAGGTTTGCAGGTGTGAATTGTCACCCTTTGTTCGCATCATGCGGATCATTAAAATGATTCGAATTGCCCACCTCCAGTTAAGGTTAGTGAGTAACACGTAATTACGAAATTGCTGTCGCTACAATCAAGCCTAGATGAGAGCAAGTATTCAAGTTTTAAAGGAGAAGAAGATTTATACGTTCAAACTATGCATTTGTCTTTTAATTTTACAATGCATATAAATCAGAACCATATGGAAGTGATAATTTGTTCTTTCGAGATAGATTACGTAAATTCGTAAGAAATGTGGTTTTCTACAGTGTGTTTTAAAGGATTTTAGGGTATTCGTCACTACGGTATGTGCCTACCGCCTTCTATACCTGTATCCGGAATTCACAGAGAAGTGCTCGAATGAGATTTCCGTAACGTCAGACGTCGGATAGAATCAGGAGAATCTGTAAATCAGAGGGAAACCCAATGCAACTTCTCCCTCCTTGCACATGGCCGTTATAAAAAACGGGTGAGTTGTTTGAGAAACAAAGATTGGTAATTACATATTTACTTTGACATGTCTACTTTGTATAAGAACATTTTAACGTTTAAGAGAAAGACATACGAGGTCGAACAGTGAAGTGTTCTTCCAGTGAAAAACTTTACATTGTTTAATATTATTCGTTTCTTTTTTATTGAAATATTATACTGAATTGTTTAATAAAGAGATTCTACTTTTTTCTAATTGAGATAATTTCAAATTCTTCATTAAGTTAGTTGCAGATAGAGACTATACCGACTACTGTGATGTGGTTATTACTGTGGTTTTCGTAATTCTCTTATTACTGTGGTTATTATAATTTAAGTGACAAATTACCTATTTTCTATATTCCCGTAGATCTGACGGTGTGGATAGCACTGGCCCCTGTCCGGGTACGGCTTAACTTCATTGAATCTGTGAGCAATGTCATCAATTAGACAGACTCTCTCGTCTTGTATACTTAATGGATTGTGTGTCAGTGGGATATGAACGATAAGCAATTGTATAACGTTGATTAAAATATTCTATATTTCAGTCAACGCGTATAACTGGTACCATAGGAATCTAGTACTGGTTTACTTTCGATACTACCAAATTACAGTGTTTACCTCCACCCCCTCCCCTTGGTTCACCAAATCGAAGGGTAGTGAATTTTCACAATCTGGATATTTGGTCACAAGAAAATCCACATGAAATTCGGAGTCATTTCTAAACTTTCTAGAAAACCATCTATTTGAATTATTAGAGGATGTTCCATTAAATATACGACAAAATAGCTGGATACAAATGGTGCTCCTGCGCATTTTAGGAGAATAATACAACAATGGCTTAATGAAAATTATATGAGATGTTGGATAGGTAGAAGACCAAATGCCAATGTCAACCATAATGGTGCAGAGGGTCCAGTGTCTTGGCCAGTCAGATCGCCAGATCTAAACTCCTTGGACTTCTATATTTGGGGTGACCTACCTGAAAAGTTTACTCCAATAGAAACTAGACCACAACTACTGCAGCGAATAGAAGACGGATGTAATGAATTAAAAGAAAACTACCACATGATATTAGCTTCAATTCCATTAATAGAAGATGTCAGAAATGTATCGATGTAGGTGGTTCGCATTTTAAACAATTGCTGTAAATACGTAACGTTAATTTTGTTAAATATATATATCAAATTTGAAAGTTCCCGCTGTGCTCTGCTAGCGCCACCGGATATATATGTGTGTAAACATTACTTGTATGTATAAAATAAAAATACAAAAATATATACAGGGTGTAACTAAATAAGTGTAAAACATTTAAGGGGGTGATTCCTCATCGAAAAAAAGATAGGATCTTTCATATAAAGAAACTTCATTGGAGCATCCCTTGTTAAGATACAGCCCCTTAAAGGGGGTACATAAAATTTGTTTAACAATTTTTTTCACAAGCACTAAACAAGTTACAATATTGAAATTAACCTGACATTTTCTACTACCAAAAAGACACTTAGCCAGTAATTTATTTGGTTTACCCCATGGTAGTAAGGGGTGGAAAACGCAACCCCTAAAATTTATTTCCAACGTAATTTTTTGTCTTATTATTTTTTTACCATTTAAAAAATTATTTCCGATAGCCTGTTTCATTCTAAAAAAAAATGTCTCTTGAATTTTTTGCCCAAATTAAACCAGTTCGCAGTAAAAAATTATTTTACGAACAACTACAGAGATACATCGTCATAAATGCGGACTGGATTTACTGTTATTTTGTAGTTACTACCTGCATTAAATGATTAAAGGGGAATAATCAAAACTAATTTAATAATAACAAAACATACAACATGTAGAAATCATAGTAAATGTTCAATATGTCTACCTTCAGACATTACGCATGCGTCTAGACGTCGGCGCATTGAGCCACGTATTCGCTCAAATATTCCTGGAGTCTCTCTAATTACCCTGCACGCATCGATAATGCGGTTTCTTAAGTCCTCTACATCGCGAACAGGAGTACGATAAACCAAATGCTGCAAATGGCCCCAAGTAGACAAATCCAGAGGATTGAGATCCGGGGATCGAGCGGGCCAATTCTGTGGTCCTCCTCGACCTATCCACTGATTTGCATATGTTTCAGTTAAATGCTGACGTGCTACTTGACTAAAATGGGCGGGAGCCCCATCATGCATAAAAACCATATCCCTTCTGACGCCCAAAGGAACTTCCTCCAGCAGTACGGGGGGATGCACTTTTCTTAAAAATTGAACGTATGCCTCACCATTTAATCGAGGAGGTAGAAAATGAGGCCCAATTAAATAATCCCCAATAACTCCGACCCACACCTTAAGAGAAAACTGTTCTTGATGGTTAGTTTCGACAATAGCGTGATGGTTTTCATCAGCCCATATGTGGTAATTATGAAAATTAATAATCTTGTCCCGAGAAAAACTACATTCGTCTGTGAATTCGATCGTCTTCAGAAAGTCACGATTTCTTCTAATCATTTCCAGCATCCAATTGCAAAATTCAAGACGGTTCGGAAAGTCTCGCGGTAACAGTGCCTGTACTCGTTGCAGATGGTAAGGGTATAAGAGATGTTCCTTTAAAATTCGAAATACCGTCATATGATCAACATTTAGCTGGAAAGCAATCTTTCTAGTACTGATAGTAGGTTGTTCTTCTATCAAATTAAGTACTGCTGCCTCAAGCTGTGGTGTTCTTACTTCTCGATGGCGACCACAATCCTGCGTTCTTTTGTTGAATGAACCATATTCACGTAATCGTTGATGAAGTCAGACAAATATTCTATGTGAAGGATGCTGCCGTTGAGGATACATTTCAGCATATCTTGTAGAAGCTTCTAACCCATTCCCCTGCGACAGACCGTAAACGTAATGCATATCAGCCATTTCCTCATTTGTGTATGCCATTTTAATAACAAGTGAATTATTAAAGTAACAAATTAAGAACAGAACAATACACAATTAGTATTACTTCAATTTCAAAAATTTACAAACTGACAGCTTGATTCCAATTTAATTGTCAGTATCGCTAATGGCGGCCTACTAGATAAATTAGTTTCGTATTTTCGTTTTATGGCGATATGTATCTTGTTCGTAAAATAATTTTTTGCTGCGAACTGGTTTAATTTGGGCAAAAAATTCAAGAGACATTTTTTTTTAGAATGAAACAGGCTATCGGAAATAAATTTTTAAATGGTAAAAAAATAATAAGACAAAAAATTACGTTGGAAATAAATTTTAGGGGTTGCGTTTTCCACCCCTTACAACCATGGGGTAAACCAAATAAATTACTGGCTAAGTGTCTTTTT